GGAGCTCAATTAAAAGTGTCTCACGATGACTTGGTGAGTATAATCACGGTCACTGACTCTGCTGCACCTATAAATTTAAATTAAACACTTCTTTCCTGAGAGGATCACCAACTACCGAGCCGGAGGACATTGCACTGATTGGTCTCCATCATGCACCTACCTTACCGTCATTTGTTTATTTGTTGGCATCCACTGCAACCTGCTCATTATGCTGGAAGGGGTATCCTTCCATGTGTTCACATTTCAAGGTGTCTTTCTTTTTTTTTTTTTCCAAAGTGGTTTTCCAGGGGTTTTTCCTTGCTCAGATGGAGGGGTAGGACGGGCGGGGGGGGGCGCTTGGAATATGGGACATCGCAAAATGAAAAAAGCTTTTTCGTTTTGAACTGTGATCTTGTGATGCTGAAAGTAATATCTATGTTGTATGGATGTTTCGTTAGATGAGATGTGTTCTACATAGATTATTATTTACCGGTATTATTAAATTCAAAACATCAATAAAGTTGTCATTAGGCAATACTAAGGTAAAATACGCAAGGCTTGATATGTGCAGTGTCTGTTGCTCCTACACTTTGATCTTAAATGGCAGCAAGCAAGAGCAACATTTCCGTTAACTTCCTTTGGCTTCTCGATAGGGGGTAACAGCGGGTCATGTCCAAGATTCCTTTCAACAGTTACAGTAGGATGGTTGTTGCTGTCCATGTACATAGTCTTAAAAGCAGCAAATGGTGACAGGCCATTGTAGATAAGAGGAAGTGTAGTTCTCTGTTCATAGAGGATCATTTTCTACCATGCCGAGGTCTGTGTGGAAATGTTTTATCTGTGCTACATCTCAGTCACAGTGGGTTATCAAGTTTGTACACCCTCTCCAGTTTGCCCCAGATTCGAGGCCCAGATGTAAATCACTGATTTGCTATCAGCAAAATTGAATGGCCCATATGTGTTAAATGAAGTCAAACCCGCATCTGGATTGGTTGAATATCAACATCAAGATGGACCACGTTCCATGTGATAATGAATCATTTTTATCAGAAAGATGACCTAGTCATGAATGCCGACTGTGTGTTTTCATACACTAAAGTAGGAGACACACTTACCTTGGACTTGAGGTTAATGGTAAGAATGTGTTGCCGTCCAGAGGAGTCCTCAGCTTTCATCCTCAATATCTGAAACTGGGTGTCGATGAAAAGTAGCCTGCGAATCGAAACACACAAGCACGTCAACGTATTTATCAGTTTGCAACATATTATGCATTATTATTAATGCTGATCAAATGCAACCGTTGGACACCGTTGCTGTTCTCAGCTTTAACGCAACATACCAACACACCAACATGCCAGTTCATTGAAGTACAGATGTCACGTCAAAATAAAACTAACTACATACAAACACATTTGCATTGGATTCCTCATTTGAAGGGGTCATTTTACAGAAATATACTTTCTTTGCTTGTACCAGATACAGAGTCCTGGAGTCCCTGCTGACCCAGTGTCACATAAAACAACCAAGTAAGGTTTTTTTTTTTTGTTTAGTTTTTTTTTTTTTTTTTTTTTGAGGCATATTTCTACAAATCTGGCTGTGAGCAAGCCATTGTAAATTTTCCCAGATTGTGAGATAACAATGCAGCTAATTTGCATAATGCTGTCCCCACCCTGAGCTTCCTTGTATATGATTTGGCAGTTTGGCTCTATGAAGAGCTGTAACTTTTAAGCGATGGCCGGGCTACACTGGCTGAAACGCTGTGTCAAAACCAAAAGCCAAGCCAAGCTGAACACCATCAAATAACTTCAGGAGTGAAGGTACCCTACTTTGGTCACCACATGGTCCATGGAAGCAACGTTTCCCCAGCCACTTGTAAACCTGACATGAATCTCTTGTGTTTGACATCATGTACAAAACTTTTCTTCTGTTGCGGTCCACACTAGACGGTGCCTGGGAATCGTGCGGAGTGATATGGAAAGTGCACAACTGGAGACAATATCAGAGCAATCCACATGGCCATACCGTGACAAACTCATGCTATTTATCAAAGCCTAAGTGTTACACAGTACGTTCCTGAGTGTACTGAGCAACCTCAAAAGGAAGCTTTTGTCAGCATCCAAAAAGTCAAGCATAAATTTAAGGACACATATTCAGGTATTTCCCAAAGTTAACAAAACAATCGCCAGCTAAGCTAGTCATCATAATTCAGCCAACAAACATCAAAAGCTTTGATGTAGTTCTGCTACTTTTGTCACGGTATTGTAGCTTAGCTTGCTCTATTTCTCGAGTAAAGCTTGCTAAAATATATCTTCAGTCACTGTCAACCTTTACATCATATGAAACTGTTATTCCACTTGACCCGACAACACAGAGGCAAATAAAGAGTGTGACCAAATCCTGTGTGGTGCAACCAACAGAAAAAAGTTGGTCGCATCAGTGCTACAAGCGCAAAAGTGAGTGTAGAGCCCTGGTGAGCATTTGTACTGCTTCATAAAGCATAGAATGAAAGGGGGGGAAAAAACAACTAATAAACTAATGTTTCTCTGGATGACTTTACGAGTGAGATCATGGTCGCAAGGTACGGTCAGCCAATAAATTAGATCGCTCCTTCCTGAGCTGATTACAACCTGCTGAGGCGGAGGACACTGCACTGATCTGTCCGGGTCATGCACCAACACTACGCTTAGATTTACTGCCCTGCTGTTGGGCCAGCACACTATGATGGAGTGAGAGCTGCCCCCCTTCCAGTACACTTTCCAGCCAACTGAAACTTTGAGACAAAAGACTGATCGAAGACAAAGGACTTGGAGAGTCTTCGGCGAGATTTACAGTACCTTACAGAGTGTGCAGAGCTGAGACGTGGCTGTATATCTGCCGACTATTTATGGAGTGTGTTACAGAGGAGTGATGCGAGCAGTATCCCCCTGGATGACACGCACGCACGCTCTTAGTAAAGTGATGGAATGATGGCAGACGATGTCCGCAGCGAGTCGCTCATAAATGCGACCGTTCAATCGCACACTCGCAATCAAACACAAGTGAAGGGCATCGACGTTGAAGTCCACACATAGAAACGCACAATGTAATGATGAGGCCAATTTGCTTCTATTTCCCAACCTCTTATCCCCAATCGCTCTATATCTATGGTATCGCTTGATTCATCTTCAAACATCTATTTTTTGTAATTCACACATATCCTTGCCTTTGCGGTGCTTTGATACCGATAGCAGTGCAAGATGTCAAAAGCAGATAAATATAATCTAGCAGCAGAAGACATCTTCTGAATCATGATAACTTCATATCCTCGAGTACTCACACAAATAGTATAGAGCAATTAAAAAAAAAAAATCGGTTTACTGCTATAAATACACACATCCGTCAAGCCAGACCATTTAATACATCTGTCCAAGTGAACCAAGTGACAAGCATCCAAAGGAGAGCGTTGGCGCTTTGTAGAATGCGTTCATAAAATAATTGCGGCTCTATGAAAAGAAAAAGATAATCCAGTGACATCACACTTTAGTCATGGCACCAGCAAAAGCCCCATCATATCCTGCGTGTCTTTTGAGATACAGCAGACAACAGCATAGAATACCCGAACAGCAGCCACAAGCGAAATTAATATTGAACAATTTTGCGGGCTTCAAAAGAGAAAAAAGTGGGATCAGACTTATTTCACATATCACAAATCACATACAGGGCCATAGCAGAAACTGCTATTATATAACAGGTGTCTGAGCAGTTCATTTCTTTTTCCATTAACCACTTATTTATCTCACAAATCACAGACCCGATGGTACAGGCAAAACTGGTTTTCAAAATGAAGTACAATGTGAATTATGTTAAAATCAATCAAATTGAGTTAATGTAGTGGAACAAATAACGTGTATTAATACTTGTGTGTATGTGTGTGTGTGTGTATGTGTATATATATATATATATATGTGTGTGTGTGTGTGTGTGTGTGTGTGTGTGTGTGTGTGTGTGTTTTCTGTTGCAGAAAAAGAGAATGCTGAATATTTCTCAGAATAATGAATAATGAATAATGAAAAACGTATTCTCTCCCTCTCTCCCCCTCTCTCTTGTCAAGAACGAATCCCCTACATACACTGTAAATACTGTATCAGACCATCAGACAGACCCATGGATAAAATTTTCCAGAAAACCCAAACCTTAGACCTGCATTAAATCTAGTTGTTGTCACCCACATTGCCAACCCTGGACAGTTGAGCTAGGAAGAGAATTTGGTGAAACATCACACAACGAACTTTCTCAAGCCAGGAAACAAAGAGTAAAGGCTGTAAAAAAAAAAAAAAAAAAAAAAAAAAAAACCATGGCTGGACGCAGTCACGTTTTAGGGTCACGTGATAACGACCGATCTACTTGATCTCATGTTGTATGGGATGCCATCTTCGACCAATTGGGATGACCACACTCTCAAAATGCACTAATGGAGAGACAGGTCCCAAAGTAATAGCGACGATAGAGTGAGTGAGAGAGAGAGAGAGAGAGATAGAGTACAACTCATTTACCTGGTCCAATCAGCAGACAGAATTACATGTAAAAACCCCTAGTGGCTATTAACACAGCCCGTGCCAATTAAGACACTAAGCGACTCTCAAGTGCTTTGGAGATTGAGGCCCACTGTGTATAATGCCTCATAACCGTACTGCCACTTTGAAAATGATGTTGGTCCCATTTCCAGCATATCTTCCCCCTTCTATTAAAACCGAAGAGTCTTCAATTAGAGCTATTTGCATTTTACTAATATCATAATTGTAGCTGTGGTCATTAAGAGCAAAGTGGGAAATGAGCATCATAGCCAAGGCTTAATCCAGGCAAGAGAAGACGAGATCTCCATTCTGGCCCTCCACTCCTCCTGAGGAGAGCAGTCGGTGATATTTACTGGGCATGTCACAACACGTGTACTGACAGTTAATAAATGTGACCATGATTTAACTATTACTCAATAACTAAAAATAAGGAAGTCATTAATAACCCTTTGTTCGTGGAGAGCTATGTTGCTGCAGGTCAGCCAATCAGAAGATTCTACTCAGAGAGCACAGCAGTGGATGTTCCTCTAATTAAAAACACCATGACAGTTACAAATAATCATACCTCTGGGGAGCATGCGCAAAAAGTTCTAAACATTAATAGAAAAACGATTTATTTCCTTAATTGCTATATCTTGTGACACCTTATTTTAATTTCGATAGAAGTTCCCTAAATAGCCACTTGGATGAAAAGAGAAATTATGAAACCAAAACCCTTGTTCCTGTTAGAGTTCCACCAGTTTTTCTCTGGGAAATTATGTCAACTGTTTTCACACACCGTATAAAGAGAAAAGGAAATACCTTATGTTCATAAACTGAATTGCAATCACTTTAAACACATAGGAGTTATGGCAGCATTAACACTATTTAACTGTAAAGTCATACAATGACTGGACTGGACAATGAATCTCCTTTTAGCAGAGAATCTGAATTTGTCTGCTTACTCTAGCAAAGACACACGCAAAAAAAGAAACCCAAGTAAACAAATATTAAACTTTTAGATTCACTGTCCCAACTGAACTACATATTCTAATCTTCATATAATTTCTACAGTGAAACTCCTCTACAACGAAACCTACATGGACGAAAATACCCCCTAGTGTGAAAAAATCTTCATGCATTAACATCATTCCCATTCTCCTGCCCCCCCATACAACGAAAAAAAAACCCTGTTGCGTTATACGAAATCTTTTTCTCTGCTCTTGCCTCGCGAAGAGATTCACTACAACGAAGTCTAATCCAACAGCAACCTCAACTGCTTCGCTTGGAAACGGCAACAGCAACCACCACACCGGTTTACATAGTGAAGGATTTTTATTTCGTTCACAGCTCCGAGTTTCCTGAACGCAACATACTCATAGCTGCTCTGCCATTGGCTTACTGAGCATCATCCTGGCCTCCGATTGGCCAAGAGGGACCTCACTATCTATGTGTGTAGATACTGTAGCTAGATCCGTGGAAGATAGAGTGGAATGCATCCGATTAGCTGCTCAGAGTAAATTGCTTATGGCTCGACGGACAGTCAAATAAACGAACGTTTCCTGGAATGCTGTACTTGTTATCATGCTAAAAACCTTACGCTAACTGGAGCGCTAATTAGAGAGAAGGCGAGTTCCATCGCGCTAACTATGCCCATCGAGGACTACGAAGCGTCCCGTG